AAAATAATTTTATTGGGGGTCTTACATATAGCTCTTATAACATTCCATACATCAATTGCATCAAGCATATTTGCACATATGCTGCCATCATCATTTCCATTAAAACATCTTCTCCTTGAGCCCTTGGGATAAGCTCCTCTTTTTCCCCTCCCTCCCAATCACCTGATAAGCGTGTGAGAGCTGGACAAGGAAGAAGGAAGGCTGAAGAACTGATGTCTGTGAACAGTGAAATATTCAGAAGACTGAACAAGTCTATCGCGGAAGAAGGCAGAATGCTCCTTAGAAGTGAGAATGGTGAGATCCTTAGAAGTAAACAGAAGGGAGACTTCACCTTACATACTTTGGACATTTTATGAGGAGGGACCGCCCCAGGAGGCCATCATAGCGAAAACAGAGAGTTGTCAAAAAAAGAAGACTCTTGATAAGAAAGACTTACACAATGACTGCGACAATGGCCTCAAACGTAGCAACAATTGTGAGTACGGCCAAGACCCGACTGCATTTCATTCGGTTTTACATGCACAGGGTCGCTGTGAGTCAGAATAAACTCAATGGCACCTAACAACAGCACAACAGTGTTTTCTCACAGCTACTATGTCTACAGGAGTCTAATGGCATAGAGGCTTGTTGACCCTCAAAGTCAGCGGTTTGTTCGAAGCCTCTAGCCAGCTCTGCAGGAGAAAGACAGGCTTTCTACTCCTGTAAAGAGTTACCGTCTCAGAAGATCACTGGGACAGTTCTACCCTATCCTTAAAGAGTTACTATCAGTCAGAATGGACGTGCCGACAGTGAGAGTTTGAGTTTGAATTTGTCAAGAGGTCACATGCATTTAGGGCAAGAATCATGGCTAATGAGAATAGCCTTGTGGGTAATCTGGCTATGTTGTTTAACATAATGACCTGCCATGATCATTGAAGCGTGCCCATCGAGCAGTCAAAGCAACGTTCTAGCTGGAAGACGTCAGTGCTCCCACACGTCTGTGTCTGTGCTTACCCTGCTGGTGCTATCGAGTCACCCACTATTTTACAATAATTCTTTGAAGCCAACACTTGTCGAAGTTGTTTAACCAAATGTCAACATAGGCCATGAGCTCATTTAACCAACACACATGGGGCAGGCCAAAAGGGAACAAAAGAGAGTCCCTCTTTTCACTTCTGGAAATGCCCTACTTGGAAATTCGCTATCTCCCTACCTACCTACCCATCTGTTCCTCCCTCCCCCACTTCAGTTCAGTATTCTGAAATAAGGATTGGGTGGACCAGTGGTAATCTTACTTTTATTTATGTGTAGATGAAAGCAAGAGAAAGTATACAGAACTCAGTGCGTGCGATATAAAGTTCTGATGGTTTTGGCTCGTCATGTCTATGTCATTGGTAATAAACGTTCACCACTTAACGTTCGATGGAAAATGTTAACGGAAGTATTACTTCATTATCTGGTTAGATTTCTTTTTAAACCTTGGTTTATCATGCATTTGAAGAATCAAAATTTACTTATTAATCTGTCTCCCAGGATAAGGAAATACATTATCATGCTAACCTAAGACCCGTAGAAAGGTTCATTAAAATCCCCTATATACCTTTATTCCAATTCTTCTCCATCCAAACTCTTAAATCCATTCCAATCAGCTATCCATCTCCATATTCATCCAAATAGCTCTTAGCAAGGTCACCACCAATGGCTTCCATAAGGCTACAACTAATGATCAAGTCTAGAACCTCCGTCTAGAACAGCGGTTCTCAGCCTGTGGGTGGTGACCCCTTTGGGAG